CAAAACTGTTCGGTGTGAGGTTCAACGAGAAAACGAAAGGAATAATCTACCACAGAAAAAAAAAAACAAATAAATAAACAGAAAACTAGATTCACATATGTGTCAAAATTAATGGTATTTTCAGAAATCGATAATTTTTACGGTCAAGCCCAACATGATTGAAAGTACAAACTCTTCTTCCTACACTCCCTTGAATGGGTTAACAGAGCTGAGACTTGAGTCACCATGTTGTGTGGGGACCAAAACCTTGAAGACATATATGTAGCTAACAATTGTTCAAGGTCAAGTTTTCGTAAATATTCGCAACAAGCTTATTGGCAATTTCCACATACAGCTTTTGCCGCATTTGAAAAACATGCACTGACAAAAACAATTGAAATTATGCATTAATACAAGGGACAACATTAATTCAAAGGATCGTTTTGCATCCAATGTTTTTGTGTACAGCTTATTGATGCTTTCTCCACTTCTTACAACAATTCCGAAGCTGCACTTGGCTGAACTTGGCTAGACTTTGAAAAAAAAAGCTGTACACGACTACATCAATGTATAAGCGGGCGGTTCTTCTCCTCATGTTCACTACACTAATTCGAAAATGCAGTGCATATCAACAAGCAACTTTCATGGAACTGACCAATTCCTTACATGAAGACCAGAACTTGTTCCTTAAACAACAAGATGGGGTGTCCGTATCGAGCGAAGAAGAGGAGTTAAACCAACGGGTGAGTGTTTTTTTTTTTTATATTCAGATGAGGTGATAGTCTGAATGATATGCAGGAACTAAAATGCTTATGTGCATTCCAGGATTGGCCTACGGGAAAGATAAGTTACGGTTTTGAAGGACTTCCTCCACCCAGCCAGTACGAGATTATCCGAAGAAAACTAAGATTTGAAAACAACTTCCCTTACTACAGTAAATAATAAATATGAATACAACAGGGCAACTACAAATTTTAAATCCAGGTGGAGAAGTGTTCATGTATATTGTTTGCGACAAAGGAACAGGTATTATCTGATTGGTGCGCTCCTCTAGTTTGGCCTTTGCAAATACGAATAAGTATTGTACGAATGTAGAAGACTATATTTGGACACAACAATGTAATTTGAAAACGAACAACATTTTTAATATAAGCGCTATGCGACCAATAATAAAAAATAAAAGACTTCGACTAGCTGTCTCTCATAAAAAAGGCAAAAAACATTAAAAAAAGGAGGAAAAGATTGCAAAATGAATTTTATACAGCTTGCTTACAAATAAACGTATCCTTTTACGCGACCACATTTTTGTACTTCATGACTCCGTGGATGGCTTCACCGCGTTCAGCTGTCTGCTTCATCTCCTTGTAATACTCTGCAACCTCCTTTTTGAAATTGTCTGCTTCTTTTGGATCACTCAAATCT